ACCTGCAACGGACAACAATCCTCACACGTAATACGTAGGCACAACCGCAGTTTGTGTAACCTGCGACAACTCCTACCAGCAGCAGCGTACAACGGTGACCCACAACACTGGCAATGGTCACCAGCAACCAGCAGCTCATTCAACAGTCCCTTCCCCTCGCAACCACAGCGACTTGGCTTACTTGTGAGAGCACCTGACCAGCACCACTGCCAGGCCTAACCTCATACGAGCCAACCACACCGGGCGCGACTCAGTCCTCACCGTATTCGCAAGCCCCGGTGAGGGCCTAGCCACCACCGCTTGCCCGTTGGGTAAGTCTTCTATCCCCACCCGTGCACCTCCCGCTGTCACTGGCGGTACTTCGAGCAAGATGGGACGAATCTCCCGCTAAAGCATAGCCGGGTGCATGGGCCGTCGGGCGTAGGCACGAGGATAAGGGCGAGAGCTCTCCATCGGTAGGCGGGGCAAAAGCACCGGGTAACAGGTAAGTGTCCACCTCCGCCACGTACGTCCGTTCTACACATGAATCTGACACAAAATCGCGCCCAGGTTCACCCACTGCCTTCCCACTTATTTCCTCCCGCTGTCGCTCCCTATCATCCACTCTAATGCCGATCGCTACCTCTGCCTTGCTCTTACATAGCGCCCGTAGCTGCCCCGGGCTCCCCACTGCTAACTCCACCTTCCCGTCGAACGCACTTGGCGCCCAATCCGTCCCGGTACCTGTGCCTTCACTACCTCGGCGACCTCGTCCTCATCCCCTCCTCCACACACCTGGCACCCGCCTCCACCAGGATCCATCCACCGTAGTTGGGCGTGGCGCCCTTCAGCCGTAGTGCCCCGACTCGACTGCCCGACAGCCCTGGCCACTTCGTTGCCCCGTCCACGCTTGCACCTGTCACGCCATCCCGACCATGTTCACTTGGCTTGCTTCCCCCGCTATCTTCACGCAGTCCTACCTCCCCCTACCTTCGATTTTACTAACTCTCTCCTAAAACTAACATCATATTCTAACTCGCCTGGCCTAAAAATCTCTAACGCGAGTCTTCTCTCGCTCGATTTCTCCAAGAAACGGGCGAGATACTCGACTTTTACTCGCGGCCATATCCATCTCCAAACGCCCCCGCGCAGCCACTTTTCTTCCTACCTCCCACTGCACTCCGCCTTTCTCCGATCCGCCTTCACCACTGGATTCGCCCTCCCTCAAACCCCCCAATCCCAGCTTTGGTTCATCCGATTCCATCGAGGATCGGGGGAGAATTCTACTCCTCACTCCGCCATAGTCGTTCCACTTACTTCACATGCACCCGACGCAGTTCCGCGTCTGGGTTCATTCACTTTTGTCACTGCCTCTCCTTCGCCCCCGCTTGCCAACACTCTGCTCTCCGCTCCTGCGTTAGTCTCGTTCACTCACGCCTCAGCCCACTAGCGCGCCGTGACTGGACAACATAGTACGAAGTAGTGATCCAGGAATCGGGCGAAGCAAAAGTAAGACCAAATGATCCAAACAGACTGATCGTCCATGACTTATATGCTTCATCCGTGCGCAGGGGCCATGCTAATCTTCTCTGTATCGTTCCAATTATAACAGATGCCCCGAAGGACTTTTCCTAGCGGCCGGCGCCTCGCGGCGCTTCCAAAGGCCGCTCAACCCCCCCTCCTTTTCTTAACCCTTTCGCATGCGCTTGCTCCCCTTTTCGTCCGGGTTCATCCCCAGACCTACGGGTATCAGTCTGCACGCAGCGGCCAAGCTAATCCTCTCTGTTTTCGTTCCAATTTTAACGGATGTCTCAAAGGACACAGCCTCCACGGTAATAACTGGCCGTAGGCACTTTAGGACCTTTGGCTTGGCTCCCTGCAGCCCTACCATCCGAGCCCGTCCTGCATTTCAACATCTCAGGGATATACCCACTAAGCTAGGCTCTTGGGTGTCGGCCACACCCACGACACTTTGTTTCTAGACAAAACGGAGTTGGGCGCGGCTCCTCCGCAACTACGAAAACAGTTTGCAAGTGCACTTCGGGCAACCCCTATGGGTACAACACACTCCTTGTGGCCCCATACCCACCTTGGTATCGCGTCCCGAAGGCGGGACGTGAGTACAAAATAAAACTAAAACAAAAATAAAAAGAGGTACATAACAAAAATTTAATAAAGAAACGAAACGGGGGGGGGTTCCCGTGGATCGGGCCCGCCGCCGCACTTGCCAACAAAATCGAGGGGGATAGCCCTTCCGGGCCCTCGACCTCTCAGGTTTTTCGCTCCAGGTTGCTCTGCTGTTGTTGCGCCGACGCCCGCTGACCTCGATCCCGAACCTCCGTAGTGTCAGTCCAATGTCGTAACCTATAGGGCTAAGCCCAAGCCTGGTACCAGTGAGAGCGGATTTCCTAGTAAAGAGGTAGCCCCCGACTTTCGGGGCCAAGGAACCGCCCCATGCCACTTCTCGGCCCGCACTTACACGCCGGCCTACCTGCCGTGCCGCGGCCACCCTTCCCTAACCGAATCCATCAGGTCCCATCATCTGGATTCCGCGTAAGTCCATACCAGCTCACTAGGCCGTCCATCGTACCGCGCGGAATTAATGAACAAGGTGCTCATAGGCTAACCAACTTTGTCAAAACAAACAATTGTTATAATGAAGTGCGCCGACCGATGTCCGCGCCACGTCTGCTAGTGTAACCAAAGGAAGGGAAAATCACGCGCGCCTCAAGCTTGCGCGCCCACGCACTCTTTTACTCTCGTCAACCATCTAGTCAACATAAATTACGGCCGCGGCCGCGCCTAGCGCGGCATACCTAAACTTTAAACCAAACTGCTTTCTGTTGTTTGCAAAGACCAGGGCGGATACCCTTGTAAGGGTATTCGCACCGACAGCTTACCGGACCATATTAAGCGGCGCCCTTGTCGCTTCGCAAGATAAAAAAACTATCAATTCAATCACAATCCCAAAATGCTGACGAGCAGGGTACCGATCCGATCAGCCGACAAACCCAGGGTTGAGTTCTCCAATAATCCATGCCAAACACAACTTTATGCTTCCAGGATTCTAACCTGGGTCTCCGTCGCCCTGACACTCGAACGTCGGGATACTCCTCACTGTACTACAGCATAAGCTCCATTGAATCTCTCACTGTCCCCTTCCCTGCGCCCTAGACAACCGTCGGCTTCTCGTTGTGTGCCCCTAACCTTTTCCCTTGAAACCAAGTCGTGACTAACCGAGACCTTCAAAGGCATTCTCGCGCCTTCCTCTTAAAAATCTTCACATTAACACACGTAGTTGTACCACATAGATTCTCACATAA